TTTTGAAAGAGAGCGTCTACCCTGGCATGGATGCTCTTGTGCAAAAGCACATCTCTTGCACAAAAGCACATGCCAGGGTAGACACTCTCTTGTGGAAGAGTTTTTGCACAAGAACTCTTCTGCAAAAGAGTTATTGCGCAAGAAGCTGCCAGTGTAGACATAGCCTTGGTATCCTGTCCCCCTACTTCTCTCACCCACAGGCTGTTTCCATGTTGGGAGTGTGGGGCGGGCCCGTGGCTTTCCCAGCCCTGCCAAGGCACGTTTCCCTGGGGGGTGGGCTGCACACACAGAGCAGCCTTCTGCTTCCCAGAGAATATTCGCCTGTCTCAGCAGCTTAGGGGTGGGGGCTCCTGTTCGGTTTCTCCATGACAAGCCCCATTTCTACAGCACTTATGGGGCCCCCCTCACCACAGTGTCTGGGCATCTACGTATTCCCATCCATGCCTTATTGCAGTGTCCTGGTTGACATAGCGAAGCATTATCCTGTCCATAGGCGGAGAAAATATGACAGGGTGGCATAACATCCATGGGAGAGATGGAAGTTGAATAGTGATCTTGGAGTACCAGTCCGGTGTCTGAGCTCTAAACACTAGGGCTGTGTCTAGACTGGCCAGTTTTTCCGGAAAATCAGCCGCTTTTCCGGAAAAATTTGCCAGCTGTCTACACTGGCCGCTTGAATTTCTGCAAAAGCACTGACTTCCTACTGTAAGAAATCAGTGCTTCTTACGGAAATATTATTCTGCTCCTGTTCAGGCAAAAGTCCCTCTTGCACAAAGCTTTTGCGCAAAAGGGCCAGTGTAGACAGCTCAGATTTGTTTTGTGCAAAAAAAGCCCCGATCATGAAAATGGCGATCGGGGCTTTTTTGCGGAAAAGCACGTCTAGATTGGCACGGACGCTTTTCCGCAAAAAGTCCTTTTGCGGAAAAGCATCCATGCCAATCTAGACGCTCTGTTCTGAAAATGCTTTTAATGGAAAACTTTTCAGTTAAAAGCATTTCCAGAAAATCATGCCAATCTAGACGCAGCCTAAGGCTGGGTCTACACTGGCGCGATCTCGCACAAAAGCGGCTGCTCTTACGCAAAAACTTTCTGCCTGTCTACACTGGCCGCGTGTTCTTGCGCAAGTAAACTGAAGTGCTAATGTATAAAATCAGGGCTTCTTGAGCCAGAACTCTGATGCTCCCGCTCAGGAAGAAGCCCTTTTGTGCAAGAGCTCTTCCAGAAGAGGCCAGCGTAGACAGGTAACATGAATTTCTTGCACAAGAAAGCCCTATGGTTAAAATGGCCATCAGAGCTTTCTTTTGAAAGAGAGCGTCTACCCTGGCATGGATGCTCTTGTGCAAAAGCACATCTCTTGCACAAAAGCACATGCCAGGGTAGACACTCTCTTGTGGAAGAGTTTTTGCACAAGAACTCTTCTGCAAAAGAGTTATTGCGCAAGAAGCTGCCAGTGTAGACATAGCCTTGGTATCCTGTCCCCCTACTTCTCTCACCCACAGGCTGTTTCCATCTTGTAATGCTACAGAATAGCAGACTCATACCTTGATCCTCTGGTTTGCAACAAAAGCAAGCCCTGAAGATGACTGAGGATTCACAGCAAGGATCTATGCAGACTTGGTGCAGCTGGGTGCTCAGCCATGATTATTGTTATTATTTCTGTAGCAATATATTAGACTCATGAAATTGTGTCCACGAGGGGCTTGGGGATGGTTAGGACATAAGCCTCAAACTTGGGAAACTATGTTTCTTTTTGTAATACTTCAAACTTCCTGGTTGACATTGGGTTGATTGCTTAGCTCCTCTTTGCCTCTATTCCCTGTCTTGAAAATTGGAATAATAATAGCTAGCTGTTATCAAGTGCTTGAGATCAGTATATGTCAAAGCACATTACAAAGGAAAAACAATGGAGAGTCCTGTGGTAACTTAGAGATTAACAGATTTATTAGGGCATAAGGTTTCATTGGTAAAACCCACTTCATCAAATGAATTGGAGTCTGATTCTAAAGGAAGTCATAATTCCCCCATTTTACAGATGGAGAAAATGAGGCATGGAAGGGGGAAGTGACTAGGTCAGGGTCACCTAATAGGTCAGTGGAAGAAAGAAGGATTTGCCTAATACATGAGGGTGTTGTGACAATAAATACATTACAGTTTGTAAGGTGCTCAGTATGTCAGTGGGGGCCATTAAGCACCTCCACTTCAACTCATCTGATGAAATGGTCTTTCCCACGAAAGCTCATGATACTATATATTTTTGTTAGTCTCTAAAAGGTTTTTAAAGTTACAAACTAACGTGGCTACTCCCGAGACTAAAAGACAATATTCAGTATGAGTAGAGTTCTGCTAGTTGAGTTTAGCTCTATAAATATATATACTTAACACAAAAATATATATATTCTGTATATTTTTCATGGCTGTCATCAATATATTATATAGATAGGTAATACTATGACAACTTTATTACAAATTTATGAAATACTTTCTTATATGACATGGCACAACCCATGGCTTCTTAAAGAGTTTAGGCTATTGACACAAATGCTTGCATTAAATAGCTGTGTATTTAAAAGAAAATCAGACAGGGAACATCCTGGTGGCTCTTAATACATTTAAAAGGAAGAGCCGCAGTGGGGCACAACCAACTTCTTTAAATTGGCATAGTATCTATTTGAATGGTGCTAAACCAGTTTCCATCAGCTCAGAATCTGGCTCTGAGTATTTTGACTATATGTTGAGAGTCAAGCTGGATGCTTTTTGTGGCATACATACGGCTGTCAGTGAAAAATTCTGCAGTTTGAATTAGGAATGTTTGAGTGTAAACGACTAACTGTTTAACCAATAAACTGATGCTTATCGGTTACTGGTGTCGGTTGCACTCAGCGAAGCTACCTCCCTGGGAGCCGTGCGGGCAAGAACTGCCCATTCTGCTCCCAGCAAGGAGGCTAGGAGCTGGGCTGGCAGGGGCTAGTTGCCCCGTTCCCGGGTAGGCTTCACAGTGGGCTCTGCAGTATAAGCTAAGCTTTTTATTACATTGACTGCAGCACAGGTAATTCTGTAACCACAGAGATTTTCAGCGGTTACATGGTTACCCCATTACACTATATATAAAATCACTAGTTTGAATGTAGCTAATTCTGTTTGTGATGCATAAGTCAGAATGGAATCCAGCTCATTCTCCCAGGAGCATAATAAATTAATATTAAAAACTTTCAAGAAAGAGCAGTTATGACTTGGAACACAGGCAAGACGTAGAGATGTGGAAATTAAGTGTAAAGTTTTCAAATAATCCTTTTTCTGATTATGAGAATGTTTTAAAATTGTAAATATTAGTGGAATGTTAACCCATATTGCACAACTGTCTCTTTATCTCCCTTTTCAAAGGACAGTTGTTTCGAGCGAAGAGACTGAGTGGAAGAATGGCCTTTGTGATGGACATGGTGCAGATCTTTAAGTTCAGCATGTTGAAAGCTGCAAGACTTTCATTTGCTTTTAGTTGCAAAAATCATTTTCAGGCAGCCAAACATTTTTCAACTCAGGAGAAGGAACCACCACAATCTGCATCACCTCCTGGGTTTGAGGATGAAGGAAATTCACACCACCATGACAGTCACCAGCTTCAAATATCTGGAGTTGAGGATGCGGCACGAATGATCCCTAAATCAAATCCTCCCCCCAGGAGCTATATAGGCCTTGCCCCACAGAAGAATTTGCAGTGGAAGTGGAAGTCTAGCATGAGAAACACTGGGCAGGCTGCATCTTCCAGTGAGGAGTTTAGGAACCTGAGAGAGGATGACTTTTCAAAAGAGCGGAAAAGACCTGCCCCAAAGCCTATGTCCTTTGAAAGGACCAAAGGTTCAGAGATCTTGTTTGGCATTGCACCCTGCTCCCTGGCTTTCTCGCAGTCAAAGAGGAACTTTTTCAGGTTATTCCTCAAGTCGGGCAGCAGCTCCGCACGGCCTGTGATGGAAGAGTTTGCCCAACGAGCTAAGGCTCGCGGGGTCCCCGTGCACCGGGTCAGAAGGCAGGTGTTGGATACCCTTTGCAAAGGCCAAGTCCACCAGGGGGTTTGCTTAGAGGCCACTCCTCTCCATCCTAGGAGCTTGGAAGAAGCTGAAGTTTCCCAGGTTGGAGTTGCTACTGTTTTGGGCACACAGCTGATTTGGCTGGTGCTGGAGAAGATACAAGATCCTATGAATCTGGGTGCAGTGGTGCGTTCTGCACACTACTTAGGAGTTGACAGGGTGGTGACCAGCCTAAAGGACAGGTACATTCTATACTATGCATCTGTGGTGGGGGCCTTTTCACATTACTGCTGGCTTCCAATGGATATTACTGTCTTGTGTATTTGTATAGCTCCTTTTATCCCAAATGACCCCCAAAGTGCACTGTAAACAGATATAGAAACTATTCTGGCAGCTGAAGCTCTGTCTATGGGAGGAAATAGGTCTAGCAGATAAAGAAATGGCCTGGAATGGTCCGGCTTCTATTTTCATCTCTGCTCCCTGGGCCAGCTGAGTGACCTTAGGCAACCTTAGTTGAGTTTGTGCCTCAGTTTCCCCCATCAGTAAAGTGGAGTAATAATGCTGACCCATGAAAAGCAATTAGAGCTTGGTATTATTATTGTTACTTTTCCCCATCTTTGATCTCTGATATTCAATTATGGGTCCTCCAATAATCAGAAAAGCTTCCCCCTCTTACCTACCAAGAATCCTCCTGTTCCTTCAGGCCCTTTACTAAATTCCCCTCCTTTCCACAGGGCCTTCCTATGATGTTCCTCTCACCAGTGCAGTCCCATGTTTTGTTTTAGTTTCTGTTAGATTGTAAACTCTTTGGGTCGGGAGGGATTGTGAGCTTTTATTTGTCTAGTGCCTTGGGAATTGACGGTGCTATGTAAATAATGGCAGCATTAAGATATCTGCTTTGCCTGTTGCTTTGGGACAGATCAGCTGATTTTGTTTCTGCAACTCTGCTCCTTCAGGATGGAAGGTGGGGAAGGTTTCATCTGCTAGCTCTTCTTGGATCTCTGGCCTCATTTTAATGGTGAGGGAACCTGATTATTTTGTACTAGAAGTATTATTGTAGTACCCAGAAGTCTCAATCAGGGAACTAGGGTGCCATTGTGCCAGGCACTGGACATGCACATAATATAATCTCTGCCCAAAGGAAAGTAGAATCTAAGTATAAGGTGAGAAACGACAGGTGGAGATAGACAGGCAGGGAGCACATGGAAATAGCAAGAGGATTATGAGCTGGATGATGAGCAATGGTCCCAGAAACTCCTAACTATTGCATTGTAGGCATCATGACAGAGATGGTTTTAAGAGGAGATTTTTAAGGAGGATAATGTAGAAGCCTTGTGATGGTGGGAAGGAAACTAAGGCTAGCTCACTTCTTCCTGCCTTCTCTCTTTTGAATGGCATCTGCCGAGGGAGGCAAATTGGGGATTAGTCTTGCTGATGTGTGTGGTGGGAGGACAGGGTGCTAGGGCTGTAAATGGTTAACTGGTGGGGGCTCACCACAAGCAGAGGTGCTCCAGCTGGTCGAAGTAACCCCTGTCTATAGTGGGCCTGGCCTCGATTGCTCTGGTGGCTGCATCAGGTGGGGAGCGCTTCAGCCCAGTAGGGCTGAAGCGACCCCCCATTCTCCCTTTTAACTGGTTAACCAATTAAACGGGATTTTACATCCCTAATGGTCACCAGTGCAGTGAGTACATATAAAGCAGGCAACAGGTATTTATACTTGGTTTGATGAGAAATTTTGTTAACCTTTTAGTTTTTGTGTTAATAGTGCTTAAAAGTATACCTCCAACTTCCTCTAGGGATGTTAAATATCAGTTAATTGAATAGTCGAGTAATCTCATGAATTTTTATTGATTAGTCAACTGTTCTATAGTTCCTAGGGGCCAGGCCAGCAGCCAGTGCATTTCAGTCTCACTCCTGAGGAGCCTTCTGCTTCTGCTTCTCCTTCTTCCTGTTGCCCTGCACTGCTGCCTCTGATAAAGAGGCAGAAGTGTGGGATGGCATCAGCTCCTCTCTGGGAGGGGGCTGAGCAAATACACTTTAAATGCAGAGCCTGTCGCAAGCCAGAACAGAACTGGGCTGCTGGCCAGCCTGTTAAAATGTACTGGCAAGGGGGAGGGAGGGAAATGCGTGTAGTCTACAGCATTAACCTATAAGTTTTTGCTTATCGGTTAATTGACTACACTATTACATCCCTAACCTCCTCCTTATATTCTTGTCAGAGCTGCCCATTCCTTATAAGAAAGAGTATCTACGTAGCAACTACACTATTACATCCCTAACCTCCTCTTTATGTTCTTGTCAAAGCTGCCCATTCCCTATAAGAAAGAGTATCTACGTAGCGAGTGGAATCATTTGCAAACTGATTTAAAGTGAGTCATGAAGGCAGTAGGATGAAGTAGCACAAACAGTTTTCCAGGTTTTTTGTTTTGCTTTGTTTTAACTTATGACTTTTCTTGGCTTCTCCAATCACAGTTGCCCCCTTACTCCTATGGTGAGCAAAGCAAGTGCTGGAGCCATGGAGGTTTTGGAAATATACGGCACTGATGATCTGCAGAGATTTCTGAAGGTAGACGAATCCAGCTTTCTTTCTTCCTTCCTTTCATTCCTTCTTTCCTAGACGAATCCAGCTTTCTTTCTTCCTTGCTTTCATTCCTTCTTTCCTTCTTTCCTTCCTTTCGTTCCTGCCTGCCGCCTTTTACTACTACAGTTTCCAAGAACTTTCAGGCCCTCTTCCCAGCTAGATCATGTGGCCTGTCAGTAAGGGAAATCACCTTTTTACAACATTTGGTACACAGTTGAAAGCCATTACATACCTATTCTCGATCACAGAGTGGGAGGTTTTCAAAGGCACAAATGACATATAGGTAACTAGCTCCCATTCACTTACTATCTATAGCTATATCTATAATTAAAGGCATTTGCCTCTGTGGTACCTGGTTTGATGCTTTTGAATTAATCACCTTGTAACCTTTTTGTATGAATATCTCTTAAACAGTGAAGGGAATTATCAATAAAGAAAAAAAAAAAAAAAACTGCTGATTTTAGGCCACCATATCACATATTAACTGACCAGTAACAGAACTGCCACTTACTCTGTCTTCTGCAGTCAGAGTCTGGGTAAGACACTTTATTGGTTTGTATTGTGATGGTGCCTATGATCCCAGTCATGGCTTAAGGCCCCTTTTGTACTAGGTGCTGTACAAATATATAAAATGAAGATGGTTCATGCCCCCATGGATTTACAATCTAATTAGGTAAAAATCCTAAACTGTTTTTAGATTAGCAGTGATAGTCTTGGGTCCAAAGCATCTCTGGGAGAACTGTTCACTGGATGCAGACAATGATTTAAGCCAAAATACACTGCAGCGTCTGCTTTCTAGGAGAGCTAAAAATCAGTAAATACGTCACATAACTGCATTGTGAGGCCAAATGAGTAGCTCTCTCTGTGTATCAATCTGTGTAGATCTGAATGCTTCATATAGGAACAATTTTATAAACTGGCCGATAGGAACTGCCTGGGCCATGCTTGTGGGCACTTGCAGCATGCAGAGACCATCCCAAAGGATGCACCACTCAGAAACACACATGCTGGTCCTAGCAGCCAGCTGCTTTGAGCAGCATGTGAGAGCGCAGCAGGCAGGGAGCCTACCTAAGGGTTGCGCTGGGCTGCCGGCCAGGAGCTGTCTGTGGTAAGTGCCTCGTGGCCAGAGCCTGCACATTGAACCCTACTCGCTATTGCACCCCCAACTCCCTGCCTCAGTCACAGTCCATATCATCTGCTCCCCCTCCTGTATCCCTGCTCCAGGTCACAATCCCCTCCCATTCCAGGTCACAGTTCAAGCCTTCTGTACCCCTTCCTACACCCCTGCCCCTGGTCACAGCTCCCTCCCAGATCCTGCACCCCTTCCTACATTCCTTCCCCAGGTCAGAATTCTCTCCAGCACCCAAATGCCTTCTGAGACCTTGCACCCCCGCCTGCATCCCAGTCCCTTGCCCAGGTAACAACCCATGTTCCCTCTAATTCTTCTCACCCTTGAGCGGAATTAATTTTATGTGCACCAACGTGGAGGGGTTGTGCAACCTGGAGGGGATGTAGTGCACCTTCATGCTGGTGTACATTACAAAATTCATGTGGCAGGAGTGGGGCCAAAGGTTTCTGAGTGTGAGAGAGGGATCAGGCCTGGAGCAGAGATTAATTGACTACACTATTACATCCCTAACCTCCTCCTTATGTTGGGGTGCGGGAGTGTGAGGACTCTGGCTCAGAGTGCAGGTTCTAGGGTGGGGCTGGGATTGAGGAGCTCAGGACTGGGACAGAGAGTTTGGGTGTGAGAGTTCTGACTGGGGGTGCAGGCTCTGGGGTGAGGCTGGGGATGAGGGTTTTGGAGTGCAGGAGGGGGCTTCCAGACTTGGGGAGGGGCTCATAGCAGGGGAGACTGGGGGTGCAGGCTCTGGGGTGAGGCTGGGGATGAGGGTTTTGGAGTGCAGGAGGGGGCTTCCAGACTTGGGGAGGGGCTCATAGCAGGGGATGGGGTGCAGGAGGGGGTACAGGCTCTGGGCTGTATCTGGGCTTTGGGGTGGGGACAGGAATGAAGGCTTTGGGGTGCACCAGGGTGCTCAAATGCTGGGGAGGAGGGCTCAAGGTGGGGCAGAGAGTTGGTGCTTGGGCTTACCTGGGAGGTGCCATGCTGGGGCCAGTGGGGGGCTCCTTCCTCCAGTCATGGCAGCTCCATGCTGGGGCCGGCAGGGAGAGTCTTCTTTCCTCCAGCTGCAGCAGCTTTGGGGTTTGGGGAGAGCTATTTATCCTCATTACTGCCCAGAACCCCTGTGCAGAGCTTAATAAGAAGCTGCGTGGTTGTGCAGCTTAGGGGGAATTTAAGGCCGGCAGGGAGAGTCTTCTTTCCTCCAGCTGCAGCAGCTTTGGGGTTTGGGGAGAGCTATTTATCCTCACTACTGCCCAGAACCCCTGTGCAGAGCTTAATAAGAAGCTGCGTGCAACTCCCTCCTTCATCCAAACTCCCTCTCAGACCTCAGTTCCCTACCCAGAACTCCCTCCTGTATCCAACTTCTGTCCCTGACCCATGCCCCCTCCATTAATATTATAGAAAAATGTGGTTGTTGACCACTTACCAAATTATTGCCTACTCCTGAGCTAGAGGCTGCTTCTCAAAAGATGGCCACAGGAGGGCAGCATTGTGCAGCAGTTAAAATGTGGAGGAAAGGAGAAAGTGGGTGGGTTGAAATGCTGCCAATGTATTCACTGCATTGAAGGGGCAGTTATAAAAGGAATCTGGAGATTTGAGCTCCATAATAAAGCCTCTGATGAATGACTCAGGGTATGTCTACACTTGCAGCCTAATTCGAACTAAAGCTGCAAATGTAGGCATTTGGAATTGCAAATCAAGCCTGGGATTAAATATCCCGCGCTTGATTTGCATGTTCCCGTCCGATTGCCATTTTTTTTTTAAGCTTACAAGCTCGAACTAACTGCCTGCGTCTACATGCGGCAGGGAAACGGGCATTCGAAATAAAGCCTTATTCCAAACTACCTGTTAAACCTCATTTCAGGAGGAATAACAGGTAGTTCGGAATAAGTCTTTATTTCGAACGCCCTTTTCCCTGCTCTGTGTAGACGCGGGCAGTTAGTTCAGGCTTGTAAGTTTAAAAAATGGCGACCAGCTGGGAACATGCAAATCAAGCATGGGATATTTAAATCCCGGGCTTGATTTGCAATTCCGAATGCCTACATTTGCAGCCTTAGTTTGAATTAGGCTGCAAGTGTAGACATACCCTCAAAGAAGAAGGGTTTGAGAAGACTTTTTAAATAAACCAACAAAATATATCCTTGCATTTGTGAGAGTATATGATCAGTTTTGGAGGTGTGTTTGGAGGCCAGTGGCTAGGGTTGCCAGATGGTTGAAACAAAAATACTGAACACTCTCCCCACTTCCCCTCCAAAAAAAAAAAAACCCCACCGGGAAAAAATTCTGTTGAAGGGGGAAAAAAGGGGGGGGAGACCAAAGTTGTTGAGGGGGAAAAAAAAAGGACTTCCAGGACTTATTAAGCCCCCCCCCCCCCCAAAAAAAAATTAAAATTAAACAGCATGTCCCCTTTAAGAGTGAGTGTAGGGATAGGAATAGAGGAGCGGTTGAGCACTAAGACCATTTTGTGCCGTCAGCCTTGGGGAACCAGGTAAGCATGGGGGCTGGGATTGGGGGGCTGGGAGTGTTGGGGGCTAGGGAGGGTTCGGGGTGGGGGGAGGCCGGGCACTGAGTGATTGTAGGGTTGCCAGGTGCCTGGCATTTTTGCCTCCTGGCCGGGGAAAAATTCAGAAAATATTGGACATCTTAGGTGTCCAGTATTCTCTGAATTTTTTTACCGGACTGGAGCCGAAAATACCAGGCTGTTGGCAACCTTACCAGAGGCTTGCATGGAATTCATATCACAGCAAAGCCTGTGGTGATTATAATTATTTGCTATGTAGTTGTAGTCATGTTGGTCCCAAGATATTAGAGAGACCTAGGCGAGTAAAGTGAGATCTTTTATTGGTTCAACTTTGGTTGGTGCAGATCTTAGGCAGTCAGTATTTTTCTCCCTCCATATCCTCTTTTGACCATCAGGGAGCTACCGAGATGTCTAGCCCCTTCCTTTCCAGTGCAAAGCTGGGAACCATCTCCAGCTCCACCGTACATCTATGGCAGCCAGAGCTCTGGATGATGGTGAGATAAAAAGCACATAAAAGATACTGACATTTAATTGAAACAGTTGGAAGAATCACTTTCTTACCATAAAGCTCAGTTTATTAACATTTTGGGCCATTTCTGCAGTCCATTTAATTGGACCCAGAGTGGTCAGCCTAACCTTGGCATCACAGGAGTGTAAATTTGATGTAGTGTAATGTAAAAAGTGCAGATTTTACAGGAAATTAGGCTGTCGAGAAGCAATAACTTGACTCTTGTTAAAGTTGATTTTCTAGTTATAGGGCCACTGGCCAAATTAAGGCACTTGTACTGAGATTTTATCAAATAAAATGGGATTACTAGTTTTCTAAGAGGCCACTGAACAAGGTAGGCAGAATTGACCCACTAGCTTGATGAGGGATCTGGGAGAGCTCAGAGTTTTTGAAAATTAAGTTGCATATTTAAGGGCATGATTTTAAGCACCCAAGTTTTGAAAATTTTGGTCTGGGCTTCTTAAGACGGGTCTACACTCAAAAGTTTGCAGGCATAGCTGCATTGGTTACAGGTATGATTTTTAATGATGGAACAATGCTGGCAAAAATCCTAGCAGAGATGCAGCTGCAGTGGCAAAAATATCCTTTTGCCAGCATAGTTTATTTTGCTCACCGAACTGGAATAAATTATGCCAGCAAAAGCACTTTTTTGCTGGTATAAGCTATGTGACAGATATTTGTAACCATGTGCAGTGTCTTTGGGGCCACTGTATTAAATTTCTGTATGACTGTGTTCTACTCCAGTGGGGAGGGTTACCACTGCTCCGCCAGGAACCAGAAACAGTGGAGGGCGATTAAGGTGAATTATTTAGGTTGCGAACACCTTGGGAGATTTGCATGTACTGGTTCAAACTGGTTTCCCCAGGAATCAACAGACAAAAAAAAGGTTTTTGGTATTAAAAGGCTGGGTCTGAAGTAACTCAGGGCCTTCTTTCTGACCCAGCAAATGGCAAAGGAGGACCTGTTGGAAAGACTGGCTTACTAAGGCCTCACAAGACTGATGGTAACTTCTGATATGTGTGTGTTTACATCTGTTTATTTTTTTTCTCTGTACATTTTTCTACTTTTAGAAAAAAATGTGTGTGTTTGGAAAGAGTTCTGTAGAAACTTGTGACAGTTGGGAATACATTGTTCATAGCCCGCAGAAAGAAAGCAGTGTGCAGCAGGCTGACCTGCTAGGGGATATCACAATAAGGAGCTGTGCAAATTTAAAAATCCCCAATCAGAGGCAAGTGGGAGAAGGGTCCCTACCCAGAGAAGTGATGAGAACTGATTGGGAATTCCTAGGCTGGCCCATGGGATTACAGGCAATGTTCTCTCTATTCCTTTCCATCCGTGTGCAGATTTTTTCCATCCATATTCAGAGTAAATTTTGTTATGTTCATCAAGGCATGGGCAAATGTACACTACCAATAGAAATGAAAACTTAGCTGTGAGTCCTCTGCTAATCATCTGGGCAGCACTGGTCCCTCTCCTGGGCAATCATACAAGTGCACAGCTTACAGAGAACACTGGCTACAGGTGCAGTCACCCTGAATCTGTGGCAAACTATCTCTACCGTAGCAGGATTTTGATGGTGTAGCTATATTGGCATAATTTTTAATTCAAAACTAGACCTAGATGTATTAAAAAATGAATAAACCAAAATAAGCAAAATAGGCTAGCTGAGTGTTTGTGCTGAAAATCTAAAAGATTGTGTTTGGTCTTGTAGGTTTAAAGAACATGGAATCATATTTTACTTTTTTGATCCTTTTCTTTCTAAGACTAAAACTGAAGAAGGCTGGGAAGTCATAGGAACAGTCGGTAAATCAGAGGTCAAGGAAACGGTCCCAGTCATCAACTGCTTAGAATTTCATTGGAATAAACCCACAGTTTTGGTCATAGGTATGGTACGTTGTAAAACTCTAATTTGGGGGGAAGGTGCATGATGTGGAGATGTTACCTCTAATGCTGATGTAGCAGTGTTGTCTTCGTCACACTAACTCTAACTAACACTAACGAAGTGCCAAGTAATGTAAAACAGCCACTCTGTTCTAGAAAGTCATATCGGAGGTGCCTATAAAGTGACTGTGCTAAGTTTCTTAGGTGAACATTTACTTGCCCTTTGCAAGTGTATTATGTCTAGTGATGCGATAGATGGGAGAGCAGTGGGTATCTCTTTCTTTTCCTTTCAGCTTAAAGAGCCAGCTTGAAAATCTTTCCTTTCATAAAAACCCCCTGCAAATTTAATGCTGTTTTTTTTAGAGACTGGTAACCCAACTCTCTCTTTAGTCATAGAATAGGTATCACAGGACAAATGACAGCATCATTTCTTCACATTGTCCTGATTAGAGTTTAACCAGTTAATCAATTAAGTGGGATACTGTCTCTCCTCTCCCCTCTCCATGCGGGGATGCTGCTGCTGGCACCCTGTGCAGGGGGAAGAGGGGTAGCAGCAGGAGCCAGCTGCCGCCTCTCCCCACCTGTACGTGGGACTTCTGGCTGCTGGAACTGGCAGGGAGCCCATAAAGGAAGGCTGGCACAGGAGCTGGCTGCCCAGTGAGAAGGGGAGGAAGCTGGTTTCTGCCCCTGACCCCCCTGCACGTGGGGTGGCTGATTTCTGCCCCGACCTTCCCGGGAGCTGTTCCCAGGTACTGGTTAACCGGTTATCTTATGGTGATGCTTATGGGGTACTGGTTACCTGTTTACATCCCTAGTCCTGATGTAAGCTGACTGCTTGTGGGAGTGAGCAGGGAGTTCAATGTGTACATGTGTGCATACATGACTTGAAATTTGTAAGTGCTTAAACAGGTGCATTTCTGTGTTCATGGGTACAGTAAGTCTCCCTGCTATTAAGGGTTGGCCTCTCATGAGATTGCCAAGAAAAATGGGTGGCTTTGATAATGTGGACAGCTGTCCCAGCAGAAATAAGATCTAGCATCTCATTTCACACAGGTGGCTACTAGGGATGGTAAATCCAGTTTAATTAGTTAACCGGTTAAATGTTAGGTTTAACCATTTAACTGATTAAATGGGCACGGGCAATACATTTAAATGTAAGTACAATATTTATTTTCACATTGATTTATAATCATATGGTAAAAATGAGAACATAAGCATTTTTTCAGTAATGGTGTGCTGTGATACTTGTGCATTTTTATGTCTGATTTTGTCAGCAAGTCTTTTTTAAGAAAGGTGAATCTTGGGGTATGGAAGAAAAATCAGACTCCTGAAAAGGTTAGGAGTCATGGGGATACGGTATTAACTTTTCGTCACTTCCAACCTTTTTCTCATTTAGAGTGACTCTGCCATATGCCCTTTCTGCCCCAAAACTTCTCTTAAACCATAGGTCAATAACCTTTGGTCCATCAGGGCAATCCACTGGTAGGCCATGAGACATTTTGTCTACAGTGGCCATCCGCAAGCACAGCTCCTTGCAGCTCCCATTGGCTGAGAATGGATGAACTGCAGCCTCTTGAAACTGCAGGGGGGCCATACCTGCAGATGATCAATGTAAACAAGATGCCTTGTGGCCTGCCATAGGATTATCCTGATGGGCTGCATGCTGAAGGTTGCCAACCCTTGTCTTAAGCAGACAAAGGAGACCATTGCAAAGAATTTATCAAGAGGTGTTTTTTATGGAGAAATCTCTGAGTTTATATGGTTTGAATGGTAGAAAAGCAAGTGGGCGTTACAGCTGAAATGAGAAACATTGCCGGGTTCATCACGAATGCATATTTGGAAGCCCTTTTTGCTGCTCTGTGTCAGCAAGTAATGAAGGTGGTTTGAACCATTGCACTGAAAGGTAATGTCATGCTGACAATCAGCCATTGAGGGGGCTGTAATCCTGCCCGACTCTACCATTTACTTGGCTCTGAAGACATTTCTTTAATTAAAATGTTTATTGAACTCCAGGAAATACTGACAAGACGACACAGCAAATCTGGCATCTCTACAAGATGTGTGGCACTATATTACAAAGGGAATAGAAAGGCTGGCAATGCAGATGATGGACCACAAAGAAATACATACCAGAAACGATGACAACAGCAAGAGAAAGGAAGAGAAAGTGACAGCAGTGTCATTACCTTGAATTATGAGAGATTCTCCAGGAAAAAGTCCAAATATTCTTTTGTCAGGGGAGTCTGGAGGCTGATTGGTAGATGCATGAGAAGAGTTCCCAAACCTTACAACAGTAATGACTTCAACTCTCTGCTGAGCACTAATTCTTCCCTGAAAAGAAATAGAATGTTATGGAGTTGTGTGATGCTGAGGTTGTTTGAAGAAATGTCCTGGATCTAAATATGTAGTGTACCTGTGGCAGCAAACAGAGAAGAGCAGCAATAAATTAGTGTGGAAGCAAGCTTCCCACAGAGTGTCTTATAAGAAAAGTGTTACAGACTTGGATTTGCCTTCCCAGCCTTCTAGTCAGCTATGTTCTTGCTCGCTTGCCAAAGAGAATGATCTGAACAATACTTCTTAATGTTGTCTGTGTGCAAAGCCAGTGCCTAAGGCAACAGAATTGACTGCCCTGGAGACTGATGGTCTCCGCATGGGCTGGGACAGGATTAGCTCCCTTTCCTGTTTTGCCAGCTCGGCATATCTTTTCAATCCTTGGCCAGGGTGCTAAATCTGGGAACTAAAGGTGCCTACTCTGATTTTGTTTATTTGGACACCTGTCCACTTAGATCAGTCACATTCATTTTTTCATAAGCTGAATTTGAACGGTCATCATTCTACATTACAATAATTAACGATAACATAAATTCTAAATGGGATTTTCAACATCAAGTTTTATGGCTTAACCCAAGTTCTGACAATCAGGTGTTAGGAAATATCTTGCACTGATCTCTGAAGCATCTCTGCTGGTCACTAAATGGACCATGGTCTGATCCAGCCTGACAATTCCTAACTTAGGAAAGGCTCTGCATTCCATTATCAACACCCTGAGTCATCAGGCCACACCCTGATCAATATTACAGTCAGAAGTGGGGACAAAAATAATTATTGTGTTTCAGCTGCATTCTTGAGACACAAAACTACGAGATTAAAGTCAAAGGGCTGAAGTGGTAAATGTTTTGTGCAGCAATATAAACTAGCATCTTGTATTATTTTATCTGATTCCACAACATTCCCTCCCACATGTCATGCTCTGTCTGCAAGTCTTTTTTGCCCTGAATTTATGGATTCTAATTATCTTAAGTGACTAAAGCCATAAAAAGCTTTGTAAAAGCTGGAAGCAAAATTGCTGCTTTTATGGGGAATCGTAAGACCCTTATCAGTGAGAGAAAGGGAGTGTTCCAAGAAACATTACACCTCTGACAATAGCTGCTGTCTCAAGCCGAAGAAACACACAAGAATATGAGCGTGAAAGGCCGATGGGACAAATTTTGTTTGAAGTTATAAAACTTTTCTTTATCAAATCAAGAAAAAGTAGAAGGAAAGGTGAAATCCTGACTTTTCCAGCCATCTTGTGACAGAGAGGGTTGAGATGCTAGCCTGGGAGTCCCAGGTTTGGTTCCCTGCTCCATTTCAGGTTGCCTGGGTGACCTTGGGCAAGTCACTTAGCTGCTCCACGTGTCAGTTTCCTGTCCATTCTGTGGCGATAATAGCACTGCCCCTTCTCACATTAAAGACTGAGGTGCTCAGATAGTATAGTACTGGTGGCAGTTTAAGTACCTTGGAAAGACTGGAGAGATTGGAAAGACAGCATGAGCAGATGGAGGCTTGCAGACATTTTATAGAGGCAATTCCAACATGTAGAACAGCAGCCGGGTTCTAGAGTAATAAGTTTAAAATACAGTGGAGATGACCCTTTACAATTGCTTTTGTGGCAAGGCTAAGAAAGGAGAATGGGTTCCTTTCTGTTTCAAGAATCTATTCTGTTGGCTGCAAATAGTGTTATTCTGTATTTGTCTAAATTGTGCGAGGTGCCCCAGCGGAGTCCAAAAAGTAATGAACACCTTTTGGTAGTGGAGCTGATCTGGAGTCGGAGGTGGGTGGGATGGTTCTGGTGTTAGTCAGGGCCTTCTATAGTCCCTTGTCTGAAAGTGGAATTGTTTTAAGCAGCTCCCTTTCTATTTTCCTTTGTGACAGTGAGAGCCAAACTACTACTAATGACCTGACATAGATTTCTACTCTGCTTCACTAGTGTATCAGGTCAAACATATTAGGGTTGTTGGATGGTTTAGCAACTAATCGATTGAAGCCTCTGGTTAAACTCTCTGTGCTCATGAGTTGCACCCAGCTGGTAGTACCGTCTATTGGAAAGGTTGAAAAAGTCAATATCAATAGAGACATAGGAGTTGAAGGACCAGATCAGACCATCGGTCCATCAACTCCTATATTAAGCTTCCAGCAGTGGCCACTATGAAGCTTCCTCTTCTAATGAACCAGGTCAACTGTACATTGGGAATGGGGAAGAATTTCCTCTGGCCCATAAAAGGGTGCTATGAGGTTTTGTAACAGAAGTGTTGCAAAAGCACAAGGCATTAGCACTGGCTCAGAAACTCCTTAGACTTCTACAAACAAATCCAGAATGGTTGAAATGGTCCAGTAAAGAAAACTAGATACTTTGCTGCGATTTGTTACCTCGGATTACAATTTAACAGCTGGGTTCTGCAAACCTTTATTCATGCGCTCTTGATCATGTGTATTGTCCTGTCAAAGTCAATGGGACAATTCGTGTGAATCAATCAGCATTTGTCAGGAAGGTGTTCTGGTTTTACTTTAGAAAGACATTTGTTGACAGTTTTATTCAGAAATTGGTGGCAGAGTTGTGAAAACAGAGTTGTGTGAAGTTGGCGACACAAATCCATGAACATATCCTTACAATATCTTTTTTTTTGCAGGGAATGAAGGGTATGGGCTCTCTTCAGAGACACGAAATTTGTGCCACAGGATGCTAATTATCCCTCCTGGAAGAACATTGCAACCTGGGATTGAATCATTAAACGTCTCTGTAGCTACTGGTAAAAATAATGTCATCACTCAAAGTGATGGCAATTCCTGTTTCTTTAAAACTAAAATTTTTAGGGCGAGTTTCTATTAATGACATATTTTTGTTTTTGTTTTTCAGGGATTCTTTTGCATTCTATATGCAGCCAAAAAATAAAGTAACACAATGTGATTTTACTGTGCATTATGTAGATCTTTTGAAATCCAACTCTCCTGAGCAGGGAAAACAGTTCAGTGTGGTGTGGTTTCACTGAAAATCAGTAGCGGCAGACACCCTGACATCCAGAGTCTTCGTACATCTGTGAGCTCCTGAGAAGCTAAGGAGAAAGTAAACACTCCATTTTCTGCGGTGGAACATTCAACTAAAACTTTAGAAGATTCCAGGTACCATTCCAGGTCATGTACTATGTCCTACTCTCTAAGTTGTCACTGAACATTGTCCCATCTGTCCACTGGACGTGCCTCCTTCATCAAGCTGCTAACAACTCCAAGAACCTGTTGAGTACACGAACTTCAAGAGAAAACATTAAAGAAAATGTGACAGAGAAAACGCTAGATTTTAAAAACAGGGAGCCACGTCTCTAAAAGTTTACTGATGCAAAACATCCATTAAAATTAATAGACTTTTTTTGCACTAATGCTCCTTTACGGTGCTCATTCCCAGTGAAATCTTTGCTGGAATAAGGACTGTAGAATCAGGCCCATTCAGTATTTTCTTCATAGTGTGAAGGTGCTTCCCATTGTACATTGCTGTTTGAACATCTAAAAACATGTTGCATTGAATCTGACTGTAAAATAAATCTTTGAACTTAATCATGTGATAGGTGTGACCTATAATGAAACTCAGTTGAGGAAAAAAATTCCATTGAAATAAAACTGTTTATAGATTTGTCGTAGATTTGTATTAAATTGTTTCTTTTGTTCTCTCTCATATGTAAACCCGGGTGAGGAACAAGGCTATGGATTCATTAGCGTGTTCTCTCATTCATATTGTGAATATTCCTCTTTCATTATGGTTCTGATCCTGTAAGATGCTCAGTACTAAAGCATCCTCAACTCCCATTGAAGTCACTGGAAATTCAAGATATTCAGCCTTAAGGGGGAATATGATAGAGGTCTATAAAATCATGACTGGTGTGGAAAAAGTGAATAAGGAAAAGTTATTTACTTATTCCCACAATATAAGAACTAGGAGTCACAAACTGAAATTAATAGGCAGCAGATTTAAAACAAACAAAAGGAAGTTTTTCTTCACTCAGTGTACAATTAACCTGTGGAACTCCTTGCCAGAGGATGTGGTGAAGGCTAGGACTTTAACAGGGTTCAAAAAAGAGCTAGATAGATTCATGGAGGTTAGGTCCATCAATGACTATTATCCAGGATGGGTAGGAATGGTGTCCCTAGTCTCTGTTTGTAAATAGGTGACATGAGAGGGATCACGTGAGGATTACCTGTTGTGTTTCCTCCCTCTGGGACTTCTGGTATTGGCCGCTGTCAGCAGACAGGATACTGGGCTAGATGGAGCATTGGTCTGACCTAGTATGGCCGTTATTATTTTGTCTCGTATTTAGGGGGAGGATTGTGGTAGAGGTTTCATTTACAAATATTTCTAGCTTAGAAACTATACTTTTTTAATTATTGAAAACCAAATGCATGTTAGCACTTGCAACTTGACTATTTTATTTAGTTACTGTGTCCCTTTGCATGGGATCTCACTCTCTAACCCTTGATTTACAGTGCCCTTTAGGGATAATTTAAAATAATTTACCTTACTCATCCCACCTTCCCAATGAGCAGCTAAATCACTCAGGGTACGTCTACACTAGCCCCCTAGTTCGATCTAGGGAGGCTAATGAGGGTGACCGAAATTGCTAATGAAGTGCGGGATTTAAATATCCTGCGCTTCATTAGCATGTCCCGGGCGGTCGCCATTTTAGAAATTGACTAGCCCGAAGTAACTGCCCGCATCTACACTCGGCAGTGGAATGGGATTCCAAATTAAAGCCCTAAATCGAATTAGCTGTTTTTCCTCCTGGAATGAGGTTTATCAGCTAATTCGATTTAAGGGCTTTAATTCGGAATCCCATTTCACTGCCGCGTGTAGATGCGGGCAGTTACTTCAGGCTAGTCAATTTCTAAAATGGCGACCGACCTGGAACATGCTAATGAAGCGCGGGATATTTAAATCCCGTGCTTCATTAGCAATTTCGGTCACCGTCATTAGCCTCCCTAGATCGAACTAGGGGGCTAGTGTAGACGTACCCTCACAGAGACTAATTAAACTTTCCTTTCAGCTAAATGAAGTGTGTAAATTCTGTCTATGAATCTGAAAAGTTTTTCAGATGCTTCAGATGGTTGATTTCAGAGTCTTTGGAAAAGCTGTCTATTCTGTCACCTGGATTTGCCTCGGCTTATTTAGTAGGAAAGAATGTGATGTCCTAATACGTTTTCATATAGGTGAATTCCTTCCTGGGATGCTGAAGGTTCTCTTATATGCTCTGGGTCTGCTACATTTGAATTTTGGTAGCACCTAAGGGCCACAATCAGGTCAGGGATCATGGTGCTAGTACATAATAAATAAGACACTCTACAAAGAACTTTCAGACTATATCAGCGAGAGGCAACCTAAGCTAGTGAGTGGGCTGCATGAGTGGCTCTCCTCCATCTCAGTGGCCCACAAGATTGTCGTAACCCAAGAGGCTCTCCCAGGATAGGGTAGTGTTGCTAACTGTGCTGGTGTACCTAGAACTTGCAGGGTGTGCCAGCAGAACCATAGCAGCACTTTGATTGATTGCAGAGGGAGCACCCAGCTCTCACAATGTTATGTGGAATCAGCACATACCTCACTTCACATGCTTTTGCTTTTACGTGCCTGTCACTTTAGTAACAACCAGTAGGGGAAAAAAACCCAAAACCATACACAGATGCAAACCAGTATATCTGGCAACCCTGCTATCTCATGGACCACACATAGAATCCCAATGGGCTGCATGTGGCCTCAGGCCACAGGTTACCCATTACTGGTCTAAACAATGCTGTCTTCCCAATTGTTTCTGTTAGGGGATTATTTTTCAGGGTAATTCTTTCTTTCCTTTGTTTCTGCTTTCTCTCTTCACCGCAGCCCATCTTTGGCGCAATTATGGGGATGGCTCCTGCATTCCTTTGCTTACCCAAAACTACCACTGAAATCAATGGGAATTTCAGATGTACAAGGAATACAGGCTTGCTCCCATGGTGTGGCGCTCAACTGGTGTAAATCAGTGTAGCTCCATTGAAATAGGTGGAGCTACCTGATTTACAGCAATTGAGGTTCTGGCTGAGCGTCTTTTTCACATTGCCAAGAGAGTTTTCATTGTTTATTTCACTCTCAGCCATTTCACCCTCTTGTTCGTGCTAGGTTTCTGTGGAAATCTGTTGCTGTGAAATATTTCCTTTAGGGTAGGTGCTTAGGAACTGAAATACACAGCATCATCATAATCCTGCTGCTTGTTACTTTTCCTTCAGGATTTCTTTTTGCATTATCTGAGGTGCGTGCCTCTGGCTCACTGTTTTTACTAATATTTCTCTTCCGTTACCCTTGGCCCCGTATAGTCGCTTCAAAACTTTGATGTAGCGCACGGTTTCTCACAAAGGGAATGGAACTTGCAGCCTTGCACAGGCAAAGTTCATTGGCATTTGCCTTGTTTCTAAAACTAACCTGCCAAATGTTTTCAGGAACTGAATTGTCTTGTGGCTGCTTTGCACCCATTATTTTTCCTTTAATGCAGGCAAAGCCTGCCTTGTGCAGTTCGTAGCAAGATCCCCCTGACTGGCCTTTGTTATAAGTTGTTGCTCTTGGCATTTCTTAAAGCATGGTTTCAAATTGTTTTGCCAAACACAGAATGTGTGTACCTTTTTACATTAATAAAACAGAGGACTTGGGAATGATGCACTGGTATAACCTAAGGTATAAATTTAAACCAATAGATTTAAATTGAGTCAAACCTCTGTGTAGACACACTCAGTTTGGTAGGGGAGTAGCTTAAATTGAGTGAGGAAGTACTTTAAACCAAAGTAAGTCGAAACTAAAATAAGAGTATCCACATGTATTTGCAATGGTTTAACTATATACAAGGCTGCAAGCTCCGGTATCTTGGTTTAATAACCAATTACATTAAATCCTTTTCAACTTTCCCATTAGACAAAGTCAGAGGAAAAAGTTGGCACAGAGGTTAAGGAATTGGTCTGAGACTTGAGAGAGGACTCTATCACGGTCTCTTCCACAGATTTTCTGTGTGACATTGGGCATGCCACTTAATGTTTCTGTGCTTCTGTTCCCCTTCTGTAAAATGGGGATAGTAACATTCCATTATCCCATCTGTCTATTTAGAGTGTTAGCTCTTCAGGACTGGACTTTTTTTTTCTATTTGTTCATATAGTGCCTAGCAAACACTTTGTATTATGGCCTTTTGGTGGTAACTGCAATACACATGAATAAGAGGTTGTGTTCATCTGGATTTTGTGTTGAATTCTTAACATTTTACCTTTAGTTGTTCTGATTTTCAAAGGTGTTCAGCACTTGTGTTTCCTGTTATAAACTAGGGGAGAGGCGTGCGCTCAGCATCCCTGCAACAGACTGCTTATGCTTAATTATATTATCCCCTCCAGCCCTTAATTGAGAATATAAAACACTGCTAGGCAAACAATTATTATTTTGTGAAACACAACTCTTTGGAACTCATGCTTTTTATAGTCATCAAATGTAAAGGTGAGAGCTTTCTATTAGGTGACATTGAATAAGTGATTGCTGGAGAGTAGTCATGCTTTTTTGGTAGATATGTAACATTTTAGGTTTTTTGTGCAGAATGAGTCAGTTTTAATTTAGTAATAAAAAAGGCTAGGGATACAGAAAGGCACGTATGAATTGTTTCTCTATATTTCAGATTATTATTGAGGAAAACCCTTGTTCTGTCCATTAGGTGGTGCCCACTATGCATTCTTGCATTTGTGGAGGAAAGAAAGATTCTAGAGACATAGAAGCAAACAAAAATCCATCCTTGTTAACACTAGGAGAGAAGAATAAAGCCATTTCTTTGACCTATAGGTAGGTATATATATATATATTTTTTTTTTTTTTCTGACTGTTTACTGACTGATTTCTTAATGTAATTAGTTGGTAAAGGGAGGCACATTTTTAAGTTTGATTCGAGCCTATATGTATGCTGAGAACTAACTTGTAATTTGAAGTGCGAGCATAGTGATGCAAAGTTACACGTTAACAAAGAGGAGGCTGTAAATAACGTAAAAATATTTTGTCCATTTCCTGAAGGTTCCAGAAGTACTTTGCATACATTCTACCTACAGCAACTCTGATACGCAATTATAGGTGAGTGGAGACTGATGGGAACTTTTGGAACATTACATCATTGTATTATCCTTCGTGTTATTGTTTATTGCCACCCAGCTCTTGTATGTTGTGAAGTTGTGATGCTGACTTCTGATATCACAACGTGTGGCAGTGTAAATGGGGGTGTCCCACTATTGTAGAAAGAAGAAATGCATTTGGAAGTGAGAATATAGGGAGGTCAAAATGTGAGAATTTAGAGCCTAATCTTGCTCTTGTCTTTAGAAGTCATTCATGCCTACTCACAAGCGTAAGCCTAAAAGAAGTTGAATTTAAGTGTGTGAAGAGCTTAAAAGTGGAGAAAGCCTATTAGGTCTTCCTGGACAGTGTGTATTGGTCTCTATTGTATGTAGAGTTGCAAGTGCTTTGTTCAATCTTGTTTTTAAATGTGCCAACCAGTGAGGTTTCCACCATTTGTCTTAGTAGATTATTCCATAAATATAATAGATCTCACTATTAGTTTGCAAGTGCATATCAAAATAAGAAACGGCAGTTGTTTGAATTGCATTTTCCCAAAAGGATGACAAGACAGCTTGCCTTCTTCCCTGTTTTTTCTCATCCTTGTGGTCTTATACGTTCTTTTTGTATTCTGCTTTGGCATGAGAGGATCAAAGGAGAGGAGCTGACCATGATGTAGTATATGTTTCATGGTGACAACAATGCTTTTTAATTTTTTAAATTAATCTGTGTGGATTAACACACTACAAAATCTCTGTGGAAATGTATTCAGTGTGCTAGTGACCATATTAGATGTAATGTAGACATAAGGTATGGGTGTGTATTGACACACATGTATGTATGGTGTGTACACATATACACGGGCATGATTCAAATTGTCAATTCCACAGCTGCACTGAGTACTTAGAAATGCCTCTCTGTTCCTGTATTTATATGTACTGTATTAAAGGAATTGTTAATGTGTTAACACCCAGTCAGGACTGCATTCTCTGTTCTCTAGGGTTCTTCCTATCCAAATCCCCACAGAGGGAGGGTTACATGATGCCTCTCACCCTTGTTTCACTGTGCTGAGATGCATATCCTTTCACTGCAGCAGTTGACCAAGTGGCTGGGATAGTCGTGGTAATTTGCCATCATAATTTCTCCCCATATTTTGACCTCTATCTTGCAAGATACTGAAGGCTTCCTATGAAACACTGAGCACCCTTAAATCCCCTTGAAATCAACAGGAACCAAAGGGTCTTTGCCCCCCTCCCCCGGCAGGATCATGCCCTTTGAGACAGAGCTCTATGCTATCTAATTTACCCCCTGATTTAATAAATGTGATTCATTAATTGGATCATTGCCTTCTTCTCCAGTTAATTTCCTGGGTATTTTTAAATGTTAAAATGTAGTTTTTATAGTCTTTCATTATTTTTAGCCTTAAGCTTGAATATAATTGTCCCTGTAATGTAACTGTAAAAAAACTCCCACCTTCATATCATAAAGAAAGTTATTAATTGTCATTTTGGTGTACATCTACAAGATCAAAACATGTTGGCTGATTACTTCTGTTTGTACATACCATGTCTTTGATACTTCGATATGAATAATGTGTATGTGTAATTTGAAAGTCATTTTTTTCCTCCCTGCTGCTTGTCATGGATTATTTTCAGGAACATATTTACCAAATTGATTTTAAAATTTAGTAATTGCCCTTTTATAATGATTTTTCAGTAGTCAAAAGTGTCTAAACACACTGGCAAAATAGTTTCCTTATTAGTTCAATAGATACTTCATGTACATTGTGTCTTTTCCCGGACAATGCTGAGCACATCTGTTTCATACCCAACTTTTACTGTCCAAGTGAGGAATTATTTAAAGGGACTCTGTTAATTTAGTTTAAGCTCCAAATTTAGGTTTTGTGCCTTAAAACAAAAACAAACAACGCTCCCTCCAAACTAAAAACCTCTTTCTAAAATTAAGTATTTGTCTCAATGAGATGTGTATGTATACAAGGATTGGAAGCTCCTTGGGGCAGAAACTGCCTTCTTGTTCTATGTTTGTACTGTGTGTAACACCGTGAGGCATGACTGGGGTTTCTAGGATTTTCCACAAGACACACAATGTTAATAAAGTATAATCCTTGTGGTGTGCCACAGATGTTAATGCAAATTTAGGTGCTTATGCATGCAAAATTGCAAATACTCAAATGGAGGCTACTTCTAAAAATACAAATACATTTTATTTTCAATTGAAAGATTTTAAATTTAAAAAATTAATGTAATCATTTCCCTGCTCCCACTCCTTTATGTTAGGAATTTGGCCAGTATTGTTTTAGTGCAGGAGAATTGCCTTGACTGTAAAGTGGAAGAGAAACAGTTCCATTTTCATTGCTCAAAGTAAATGAAGTGCAGAAAGTAAACGGACCATGCAAATGGTGAAAAGTAAAGGAGGTGAAAGCTGAGAAGGTCAAAGCTGCCTAAAGGCTACGGACACCCAAATCCCATCAATTGGAATGGGCCCAATTCAGGAAAGCTTTTAAGAATGTGTCTAAACCTTAAAACTCTGCAAAAACTTGACAGCGATAAAGCATCTGGCGTGCTAAGACCATTGCCCACCATGGTGATCCATATTGTCTCCTTGTTTCCTTGTGCTCTCACATCTGTCTATATCCACCTGTTGTTTCTTACCATATTATACATACTCGGGGGGAAGGAAGCATCTGTTTGTTTTGTACAGCACCTTGATAGTGGTACCTGAGCATTACTGCAAGACACGTATTCTGCTATATATTTGAGAGAGATTGTGCCTCTGTGTGTCCGTCCGCCTGTGAGTGAATTTGTTCAACAACTCCTAAACAGTCAGAGCTGGGGCCGCCAAATTCAGTATATATCAGCTTCCTCTTTTCCTAACATACAGCAAAGTCAGGGCTTGGTTGTGCCAGGACAATGGGATGCGCATAGAATGCGATTCTCATCAAACAGAAAGGAAGGGGTGTGATAGCACGGACAGTGATCCTTATGAATAACCTCGGGAGGCAACAAACATGGGGGACAGTTACACCCCAGAATGACCACAGGGGGCTACAAGCACCCCGAATTTTGGGAGCAGTCTCTGGTTGGCCCGTACAGCCACTGGACCAGTCAGCACAGCCCCTGCAGCCCCAGGCTGACCTTGGGGAACAGCCAGCAGACGGGCCAGCACAGGCCCTGGGGAGAAGCCAGTGGATGGGGACATCTGGTTCCTGCTGTACTGGGCCAGCCCCAGGGAGAAGCTGGTGGGCACACTCCTGCCATGAGCCTCCCACATCCCAAGCCCCTTACTCCTGCAGCCACTACGCCCCTGAATTCTCTGCCCTGAAGGACTTGAGCAAGGCCAGGTAAATCTTCTAGTAATATATAAAATAAGTCCCTAAGCATGAGCTTCAGTTGCATGGACGTGTGTGAAACTTAGCTACGTGCACAAAGCTAAACACACAGTCAAATGCTTTTGCCTAACAGAGGCCTTGGTGTGCAAGGCTTTTTGGATATCTCTGCATGGAAATAAAACCACTTTGGGTTTGAGGTCTGTACAATTGCAGTGTAGATTTTGGTCTCAGAACTCTCTAGCCAGGGCATCTACACCGGATTCTGATAGCCCTGCAGTCCAAGCTCTGCGAACCACACTCAGCTGACAGCCAGCGGTGGGAGTTTTACTGCAGTGCAGCTGTACCCTCAGGCTTCTTTGAACATCTCTGCTTGCACATTCTTTCAGGTTTGACCAGGTCACATTTTGTATCTGTAATTCAGGTGAGGGATTTAGAAATAGATACCTATTTTTTTGTATCTTGGCAATGTTCCTTAACATACATACAGTGCATCACTAACTCTTGCTGTGATATCATCTTAAAAGGTATGTTGATGTCACATTTATTTTAGAGATGTCTTAGGGTATGTCTACACTAGCCCCCTAGTTCGAACTAGGGTGGCTAACGTAGGCATTCGAACTTGCAAATAAAGCCCGGGATTTAAATGTCGCGGGCTTCATTTGCATGTTCCTGGACGGGCGCCATTTTAAAATCCCCTTAGTTCGAACTGACTGCCCGCAGCTACACACAGCAGTCAGAAGTTAATCCAAACTAAGCCCTTAGTTCGGATTAACTGTTACACCTTATTGCAGTCGGTTTTAAAAATGGCGCCCGCCCGGGAACATGCAAATGGAGCCCGGGATATTTAAATTCCAGGCTTCATTTGCAAGTTCGAATGCCTACATTAGCCACCCTAGTTCGAACTAGGGGACTAGTGTAGACATACCCTCAGCTATTTAGGGAATAAAGTTCTCAAGTTTTCCGTTTAGCCAGTGCTTGCACTCTACCTGTTTGTACAGTGCACAAAATGGATGTATTTTTTGTCACAACATAATCATGATAACCTCTAAGCTTACTAACCACACTGTGCAACACTGAGCCTGGTGTGCTAAGCCTGTTTCTATTGGCTCATACACAATTGAAATGTCTAAGACAGATGGACCCCCTCCCCAGCCCACATAACTCCCGCACTCTACCTCATGCTGGGTTAAATTCAACCTGGGTGTAAGCACACACAACTCTCTTGGCTTTAGAAGAGCTACCTCTCACTTCTATCGGGGTTGATGTTGGGCCCCTTATTCAGTGCTTTGATAATTGTACAGAGAAGTTTGCACATACATACCTCATCTTTCATGCACATGATTACCTGCATTTTCATTTCTTTGAGGCTCTCACACATCCCTTGTAAGATGTGACACCAATTAACCTTCCTCCCCAAAACCCTAAAGCATCCAAACCTTAAAAGTGAAAACAGAATACACACATCCCAAATCTCAACTGGTTCTTTTTAGGAATTTAAAAATGGTTTTGCAGTAACCTGTCTAGTTGTTCATTGCTCTGATTTGAAGTGTAAAGGCTGGAAATCTGTGTAAAGTGATTCTGTGTTGTCTTTGAGAGGTTGATGGGTTAGATACCAAAATAATGTGGCCCCAATTCTTCATTGAAAGCTGCTCTTGCAGATCCCTTTGCTTATGTA